AGAACAGCAGCAGCAGCCTCGAGGAGGAGGTAAGCTCAGCTTACCTCCTTACCTTGGGGAAGCGGGGCTGGGCTGAGCTATAGGGTCCCAGTGCCCTGAGAGCTCGAGGGGTGGGCTGGATGCTTGCCCTCCACTACCTAGGGCTCTGGACAGCCTGCACCGCCATCTGGGGGTCCTCTGCATGGCCTGAGAGGGATGGGGAGGCTCCTCTGGATGACAAGGGTTCGGCGCTCTCCCTGGTCTCGCCTTCCACTGGAGACAATGGAGGTCTGTGGTGGCCACCCAGGCCACCACAGGTGCCCCCAACATGAGTGATGTCAAGCTGACCATGCCCACCCCTGCCATGCCCACCCCAGCAAGGCTCCCACTACCACACACACCCCGGCCATGCCCCCCACCACCTCGAGGTCAAACACAACCTGATGCGGCCCTCAATGAAATCAAGTCTGATACCTCTGTCCTAAACATTTTATTTTAATGGATGACCTTGCTTTATAACATTTTAAGAGGAGAATACACACATCGCATTTCCCTCTCCACACATGATCTGTCACATCTCCCTTTACTCTTTCCCCCCAAGCTAAAAAACCTTAGACACTGTAATTCTTCTTGACAAAAGAAATGTTATAGCTCTATGATCATTCTGATCTCTCTTTTGTGTATGTTTACTAGCATCTGCAGCCAATTCATAGGTTCTTGCAAGTTAGAAGTAAAACTATTTATCAACATTGGCAGTGCGATCTAATGAAGGTTCACCCTTGTAACTACAGCTCCCAGAATTCTAGCCAATATTGTTTTAGTGCTGTCAAAGAATTTTGGAATTTTAGCCTAAGGCATTAAGAGGGCATCAAGTTTAGAAAACTGATGTAATATGATAAGTGAACATTTTTCAGGTAATCAGGCTTGATGATTATTAGTAAAATCCAGAGAATAAAACTAAAAAGAAAAACATACATTTTTAAAATGGTGTTGTCGTAACCGATAACAATCAATGTTTTCACATTAATACAATCTTTCTCTGGCACTGAAAGTGTGTGAATTCTGAAGTAACCAGTAAACTATTCATATATTTCTGGTAAGATATAGTCATTCTGTTATCGATGACAAAGCTTTCTGTGACTACAGTATTAAACTCCCATTTGAAATAAATTACAAGATGATGGGTGTCAATTTAGTGTATACAACATTATTCACACATATTGAAAAGTATTAATATATTACAACACTCATTAGCCAGATTTTACAATTATATTGTAGATAATTAGCCAGCAGACCAAGACAAGCAAGGCAACAGAAAGCATCAGGTCTTTAAAATTGTGGACGATCACTGTTTTTTCTGAATCAGAAGGTTCTGTATTATTAAACTGTACTCAAAAAGGCTATATTTATTTCTCATCTGAACATTCATACATGGAAACAGGATCCTCTAATCTTTATCAAAGCACATCCAATCAATAAAGACATTGATTATATCATATTACATGTGATCTATTTCTAGTCTAAATTTATTGCACTGCAAAAGTCAAATACATACATAATTGGTAACTATATTGATTTATTCCCAATATACATGGTAGAATTACAAGATTACATGTGTAGGCATAGTTTACTAATTTGATTTACTAAAATTTTCTTTCTCTTTTCTTTGATCCCTAACATGAGAAATAGCAATCCAATCCAGATCTATAGAGGAATAAAAATCCCGACACAACCCTTATCAGTAGCTATGAAAACAGTATGGTTCTATAGTTGTTCTTCATAATGTGAGTCCCACCCACCAACTTGATTTTTTAAGGGGAAAAAATATTGATCCAAGTTATGTCCTTTGTCATAAAAAAAGTGCTGAGATTGTCTTGGTTACAAACAACAGTTTGAAAAAGAAAGCATTTTATTACAAAGCAGATTTAAAAATCAGACATATTTTCAATAATTAACTGTATTTTATAATAGTGTCAAACTTTTCCTGCACTGTTTCAACAGAACCACAGTTCTGTACAGAACCTTTTAGAAGCCAGTATATTGAGATGAAGAAGGATTCAAGAAAGCAGTTGTGTAGGTGGGGCTAAAATGAATCTATATACAATATATTTGAATAACAAGCTTGATGAACTAACCAGGTATAGAAGTGGATTACTTATTACAAATATGTTACTCTTGTATTGGTATTATTTCCAATATAAAGTAACTGATTCTTCTCCATAATCTAATCAGAAATTTATTCAAGGGAATTTTCTATGAATCAGGTAGCTGTGATTTATAGATCAAACTTTATTAACCAAATTAGTTATACATTAGGAAAATAAACTTGCTTATTTTTTAAAAAATCACCAGTTTACTTGGCCTTGAGTTTTCACTCAACGAATATAAGTTTCAAAATGTGTGTTTGTAAGCCTGAGCAACTAAGATCTCATATAAACATTTGGTGATCAGAACAATAATTTACATTTTATACTAACTTTTTGTAGCAACATAAAGTTGCTACAAATAGAATATATAATAGTATATTGGATTCTTATTACAAATGTAAGAAACAAGATGGATATTGTGATTTAAAGGTAGTTTAATCCACTTCTATATCTAGTTAGTTTATGAACTCCAATTAAATCAGTTTACGATTCAAATATACTATATATAGATTCATCCTAGCCCCATCTACAACTGCTCTTTTGAATCCTTCTTCATTTCAATATACAGGCTTCTAAAAGGTTCTGTACAGAACTGTGGTTCTGTTGGAACAGTGCAAGAAAATCCTAAAGTAATTCAAGAATTAGAATATACATAGTGAAGTGTGAAGGAGAAAAATTCTGATGCTAGGAACATTCCTTCAAAATTGCATACTAATCTTTAAGATTTGCCATAGTGTTATTCTGACCCCTGAAGGATAGAAACAGGAGTTAATTTTCTGTGTGTTTGTGTGTGTGTGTTCTATCGGTTCCAGTCCCTAACCTGTATTCAATGTATTCATGTATTTGTCAGATTGTTCTAGGAAAAAGGGGAAAAAAAAAAAAACAGACCTAGGGAGCCACTTTAAAACAAAGAAGTGCAAAAGACATGTTTAAAGAAACGTGATTCCAGGCTGCTATGAAAATTTATCATTTGCAAAGTTTCTAGAATTGAATATACCATCCTGAGGTGGATGTTGTTTTTCAGTCTCTTGTGCCCGTTGTATAATCTTTAGTCATTTGTTTTGCATAAAGGAGGACATTACAATTAGTCTACATGGGATATTTAGAGACCTCAAACTATGTTGTTAATTAGCTATTTATTTCATGTACTTTCAGATTTATCAACAATTTAGGAGAGCCACTTATCATAATCTTATATTACAAAAGATTCTGTGCTTAACCTCTGCAGAAAGCTTTTAATTAATAACCAACCAAAGCTCTAAAGCATATTTCTTCCCATCAAGACAAACTATGCATGTGCGTGTGTGTGTGTGTGTGCACGCGTACATGTATAAATGTTAGTTATCAAATTTGTATACCACCACATCAAATAATTGTAGGACACTTTTCTTAACTAGAGTCTTACTTGGTAAGGGGGGGGGATACCTTTAACTCAAAAAAAAAAAAAAGAGAGGTTACACCGATTATTCAGTTTCAGTCAACTTGAAGTCTGCTGAAATGTGCAGCACTGATGGATCAGATTATAGGTTTCTCTGCGTGTGACTGAACATTCTTATGTATTGCCCTGAGAGGAGGTGTAGTTGAGTTATAAATGTAATGTTCTATTTTTTTATAGCATTACCCCAGATGGAACTCTGATGGGAGAATGGGAGTTATTTACTTCCCTCAATATCAGATTAGCTGTGTTTGTCTTTATCAGTAGTCTTCCAAAATCAACCCAACTAACAGCTAGAATAAAAATGTTATTGGATGCATTGAAGTTACATAATAGTTCATTGTGCTCAGCTATAGCTATTTTCCTTTTCAAGCAGCATATATGTTACACCACATCCATTAAGAGTGAACCATTAACCATACATGGGAGTCTACATTCTAGCACACACTGTATAAGTTTAGCATTGCAGTGCAGTGTATTGTACCACGTCATCACTATTGATTTCCACAGTCCTTCCTCTCTTCCTCTGATCAAAATGAATTTACATAAAAAGGTTGAGCAATGGATATTGCTTTGCACCAAGGGAATATTAGTTATGATGTCTTTCTGATCTACCAAGGCCCTGGATACATTTGCCCCAGTAAGCTTTGGGCAAAGCTGCTGAGGTCATATCACTTTTTACTGATCTCCAGCTCTCTTGCACGTGGGCTGGGAGTCAGGGTATCAAGTCATAACTATTTGGACAAGAAATGACAATGTTTTCCCAGAAAGGGGGACTACAAAGCAGCAGAGAACCATCATAAATAGTATGTGTCTTTTTTAAAGAAAAGAAGCGTTCATTGGTCAAATTTCCCAGCAATGTCAGGCTCCAGTATTAATTCCCACTCCCTCATAATGCCAATGAATGCAGATTAGGCTCTTTAAACTTCTGCAACTTGATCAAAGAGAGAGCTGTCAATGTCTAGTGCAGTTCTAAGATAACACTGCACAGAGCTTTGGGGGAAAATAAAACAATCCATTTTACATTAAAAAGGGTCCATCACGGAGTGCTCTTCTGACTGCTATACATTTTGTTCTATTCCAAAATACGTCACACAGAGAAGATGGAAAGGACTTAAAAGAATGTCTACCCAGACTGCAAACAGGCTGATTTTCCATCTCAGGTGGCGAGTTGGCTTGCCCATGCTTTGATTTATCACAAAATACACTCTCCAAAATACCTACTGCAGTTCTTTTACTGAACTAATAATAGAGCATTCTCTCTTTCTCCCTGTGACACACACATAAACACAGACACACATACACAAGCAAGTAAAATGCAGCAATCATGAAAGTAGCAATTCAATCACAAGCTGCCAAGTTTAGCAATATCTCTGATTAGTTTTTACATAGGTTTGGGGAAAGCGGGGAAGGAGGAAAGAGAAGGTTATCTTACCCACCACAGTCTTGTAAAAAATTTTCTCCCGGTATCAGTGAGTAAGATTAGTACTGATCATCACAATACGTAGTCACGGAACCCACGGTGTTTTAGAACTCCTCTGGATTCTTTTTTCCTAATTCTAACAATTAAGAAGGGAAAAGAGATGCCCATTTACAAGCGCCAAATTCACCATCCAAGCAGATAATTCCATGTAGAGCTAGAGATCCCTTGCAAGATTTGCTTCCTGCTTGTCCTCAAAGTGGCCAGGTTGTTCACCGATGGTACAATCCAGGTGAGAACCCCAAATTAAAATTAGCCGAGAAAATAAAAGGCAAAAGAAGGCGGAAAAGCTTGCTAGAAGCAGGTGAAGAGGACGAAAAGATCGATGAGCTAAGAAGTCTACGAGCACAAGAAAGGACAAGAAAGGAAGTCCTGGGTTATGAGCATGGAGCCTTTTCAAAATTTCTCGAAACACATGTAAAAATTCCAAAGCAACCGCACAGCCATAAGAAGCCCGAATCCCGGGTATATTCCAAGTATCCTTCAATAACGAATTCGACGGGGTTTTCCTTGCACTATACAGCTATGTGGAAAGCAAGCAGCTCCTGCTGTTTCAGAAGATGTCTCCTGGGTCCTAAAATTCTCGATCAGCAAAAGGCTTCTTAAAAAAAAAAGGAAAACGGAAGGGAGGAGAAACCCCACAGTTGTCCGTTTTCCTTGAATGATGATAATATTCGATGAAAATGACAAATCAACAAACCAAAAGAACAAGCATGAGAAAAAATGTCAATCCACTCTGAATAGTCTATCTAATGCAGGCAACAAAGGAGGGATAAAAAGAGGGAGCAGGAGAGAACGAAAGAGGACGAACAGAAACTGCAATGCAATGCATAAATGATTCCAGTGTTTCTACAAAATCGGTTCATTTGACTGAATGCATTCTCTGCTTTGCTGCAAGTCATAAAGAAACTGTTAGTGCCACCCAATGGATAATTCAGTCCTAACTAATCCACACCAGATTGCCTCTGCAAAGCCTTCAGAGAGAAGAGGCAAAAGGGTTGAGGAAAGGGACAGTAAAGAGAGAATCGTTGCTACCCACTTGTTTCGGGGACAGATAATCATAACAGGTCCTTTGTCCTCCGCCCCACCCTATCCAATCACATGGAAATGAACACCGAAGATAATACGTCGGGAGGAAACGCTTGATGTAGAAGTTCGACATTGATCAGCTAAGCAGCCTTCCTCCAGAAATTTCTCTAGTGAAGGGTTGTTTTAAAAAGCGATGATGCATTATCTATTCTTGGATATGTGTGTTTCTGTATAAAGCAAACTGTGGGACTTGCTGTTGCCATGGGATCTTCTTTGTGTGAACTCTCTGAACGGTGTGGGAGCAATTTTTTTTTTTTTAAAAAAAAGCCCCTTTCCTTCTTTTACAAATTCTAAAAGCAGGTAATAAACTCTTGCTGCATTATTGCCAATGAAGACATTCAGAAGCTGCAAGGTGTACCTAATTAAGAATTTTAATTACTTCACCAAAATATACCCATTTGCAGATGTTTAGAAAGTTAAACTGTTCTGCTAAATTTTACACTTGAAAATTCACATTCTCCTCTCTATCCTCCACCCTCAATATCTAGATATAGATAGAAAAGCCCGGATGCTTTCTACATGAGTAAATATATGTGGGAAGTAGACATAAAGGAGAAAGAAAGGAAAGACTGCAGGTTTAAACTTACTGATTTGCAAATATGTATAATAAAGTCAAAGGAATTTCTGGGAAACACAATTATAATCAAATTAGAAGAATTCCTCAGTGATTCTCATTCTTCCCATCAGCATGCTTTTAATTTCCATTTTATATTTTTTACAATCAGGGTTCCTGTGGTAAATACCGTGGCTTGAAATGCAGTGATTGAACTGATGCAGCTTTTGCTTCATACACATAAGTTGTCATAAACTCTTCATGTGGTTGATCCATTATGTAGCAGATACAAAAATAAAGCTTTTCTCAAAATTAATGACACGTTTTTTCTTATTGAATTATTAAGATAAAGTAAGGAAATACAAGATCTCTGCTAGGAAAAAAGTTACAACCTTGACATGGATTGTTCAGAAATTATCATAAGATGTTTAGAATAAAAGCTTTAATCTTCCTTGATTGTATTAAAATTTCCTTCCTTCCTTCCTTCCTTCCTTCCTTCCTTCCTTCCTTCCTTCCTTCCTTCCTTCCCCCCTCTCAGAAAGAAAGAAAGAAAAAAAGAAAAAGTGTTTCCTCTGTTATTGACCTTCATGTATAAATGAATCTTCTAAATAAGTTATTTTACAGATGTTATTGTTATAGAAATGAGGAGCTGAAGCACATTCCTGGGTCAAACAGATCCATTTATTTGCACAAGGGTTCAGTGCTATGTTTGATTGTTGCAACCTGAACAATAATAATTATGATTCTACGACTTAAATATGTTTTCAAGACAAAGAGTTCTATGAGCCTTCCCGGCTTCCATATATGGTTACATTAAAAATACATTTCACTTACATTACACTTTACTAATTATCAAACCATTACATACTACTTAATACAATTATTTAGGCTACACAATTTCACTACTCCATCATTAAACCATTACAACTTTAACTAACCCATCACTTTATGTTTTACAACTGTCCTTTAAGTGCTGTAATGTTTAAATGCAGAAATTATGACTATACTTTAAACAATAAGTAACCTTTTGTATCCCCTGTATCCGTCCAGATGTTCACATTTGATTCTGTTAAGAAGATGTATAGAATCATTATCTCATTATCCCCCCCAATGGAAGTTTTTCCATGCATAAACTTTCATTACTGCTTACACAACACTCTATGTCTTCTAATACACAAAGCTAATATATAATATTCCACACAATACACAACATATGATTAATCTAGGCAAGATAGTACTCTCTCCATTCTTTTCCAGACCCCATTTCGACATACATGTCTGTATCACGAACTTTTTCTTCAATAAAGCGCTCTGTTAACACGAACGCCTTCTCCTTTTGTATCTCTTTCACTGCTCTGATAGATAGCTGTCTCAGCACAGGGATGGCACAAGGAATAAAAGCCAAGCCTGCCACAGCACAAATCAACAGAAACAACATTTGTTTAATCCACCCGGATCCAGGCACCCAAGAAAACCACATGTCCGGTGTTTGTAATCTTTGACATATCTTGGATGCCCTATCCTGTAATTCCTTAGCAATTCCTCTGACCATACCTGATTTATTCACGTGGAAGCAACAATCTTCTCCCAGAAATACACACACACCTCCTCTCTCTGCGGTTAGGAGGTCTAAGGCACGTCGGTTTTGTAAGACCACTGCAGCCAATGAGTCTATCTGATCTTGGACCTCGACTAAAGTCCCAGCTATTTGATTCAAGCTTCCTTGAAATTCTTCTGATAATTGCTGAAACTGAACTACTGAGTGTGTTAAACCACTTATCCCTGTTCCCACTGCAGTTCCTATTCCCATGATTACTAATAGTGGGATTAGGATTGGTACCCGTTTTTGAACATGTCCCATGAGAGGAACAGGGATGGTATGTTCTCCACTGACAACACCTATTTTAGGAAACAGATGTACTAGTGTGCATGTTCCAGTCCAATTTGTTGGTAAACATAAATACGCATCTTTCCCACAATAAAAGAAAACTCCCTTTTCCCCTACACACACGCCTATGTTTATGGAGAAAGCATGGGCTCGATGGTACTTTTCATTAGTCCATACTCCCAAAGTCCCTACTACAAACATTCTGGCCAGGGGCTGTAATGGGACTTCTAGTGAAGGGTCCCTTTGCTTATCTCTGATGATTGGGCCTTCTAGAAGATATCGGGAAGTATTATTCCCAGGGGGAAAGATGATACATAGGCCAGTGTTGGATCTAATGGAGAGCCAGATAGGGAAACGAGGGGGTTGGAATGGACTGGGGCACCTTTCCAGGGAGGCATTCCCGGATCCCTTCCATCCTCCCCATCTTGTGACTGTGGCAGTAGGTGGTAGTGAGAAAGTGACTTTATGACGAGATGAGTGATGTGCAGAAGGAAAAATAATAATAATAATAATAATAATAATAATAATAATAATAATAATAATAATTTATTTCTATACCGCCCTTCTCCCGAAGGACTCAGGGCGGTGTACAGCCTATTTAAAACCACAGACAAAACAATGATATAAAATTTAAAATAATTAAATAAGTGGCTCAAATTTAAAACCCCAATAAATTTAAATACCCCAATTTAAAACTATTGTGTTGATAGTCCGGCCTGGCGGAACAACAGGGTCTTCAATGCGCAGCGAAACACCCGGAGGTCGGAGATCTTACGAATTTCCGGGGGCAGTTCGTTCCACAGGGCTGGGACTCCCACAGAGAAGGCCCTCCCCCTGGGCGTCGCCAGCCGACATAACTTGGCTGATGGCACCCTGAGGAGACCCTCTCTGTGGGAACGAACTGGTCGGTGGGAGGCTATTGGTGGCAGAAGACGGTCTCGGAGGCACCCGGGTCCTATGCCATGGAGCGCTTTAAAGGTGGTAACCAACACCTTGAATCGCACCCGGAAGACCACCGGGAGCCAGTGCAGCTCGCGCAGGAGGGGTGTCACATGGGCATAATGGGTTGCGCCCATAACCACCCGCGCGGCCGCATTCTGGACCAGTTGGACCAGATCTTTGGTTAGTTTTACATCCATAAGGTCTGTTTTAGGACCAAAGGAAATTTCTGATGGACATTGTTCTTCTGTGAGGGATCCTACAGGCCTACCAGGTTTCTGATATCTCTTTACACACAGTGAAGGTGTTCCTATGAGTTCCACACCAGTGGCTATTGGGCCAGCAATAGGGAGGCGGCTTTTTCCCAGCCGTTGGAATGCCTTATAAAAACCTCCTTGTATTGGAGATACTGGTGCTTTATTCCTACTATCTTTTTCAAGGACTATTGTAGCCTTTATCCTTGCCCAGAGTTGTGGTTTGACAGGAACTGCATGATAAGATGAGGGGCTGGCAGATAAACACAACCAGCATTTTTCACTGAGGCTAGGGTCATACTGATTAACAAGGTCTTGACCCACTTCCAGGATCCTTGATATGTAGTCTCCTCTTCTTAGTTGTTGCATGGGCCCATTCTCCTTTTCTATTTCCCCAGGTACTGGGATTGTTAAACTCTTGACCTCAGGTTTAGGAGTGGGTTTTGGTCTAAGGCTCCCTCCCCACCTTATGATACCACGCTGTTGGCGGGAGCGGACTTTACCCATAGGGTCCCCATTCAGTGTCCTGATGCTGTTGTTTCCCCTGGGATTCTTGACATCTTTAATTCCTTCTACAGGGACAAGGGGAATTTCTTGAACATCCACACAACATGGGGAACTACTGTTCAAGCTAGCATCACTCACTAGACCCTTGGCTAATAGTACCCACAACCTCAAATAAATCATAGTGACTTTATTCCCACACCCACAGGGCCTTAAGAGAGCAAGACCCAAAGTTTACAAGTTCACCAGGTCGGTCAGGAAGAGCTGTAGAAGTATATGTAACTTGGGTGAGGTCAATATCAGTTGGATCCCGGGGTTTCCCACAGAGCAGGTCCTTATACATATAATAATAATAATAATAATAATAATAATAATAATAATAATAATAATAATAATAATAATAACAACAACAACAACAACAACAACAACAACAACAATAATAATAACCCCTCCAAGGAGCTCTACCTTGTCGTGGTGGAGGGGCTTGCGTGCTCTAGTGATCCTAAGGGCTATGCTGAACAGGTGCAACCATATCAGACAGACCTTAGGTGAAGGGCCAGACAAAATCTGCTCCACAACCCATTCAAATATGGTGAATACAGAAAAAATGAAATTTATGTCGGCTGAACCATCGCCCGGATTAACAAGGGTTCCATTGGATGCTATGGCTCCTGGGCATTCTATGCAAAATGAGTTACAGGGCTCAACTCCCTCTGCTAGGCAACCAGGGCATGGAGCTGACAAGCTACTGGAAGAAAAACCCAAAAAGCGAAAAATCTGGACCAGGGAAGAAAACACCTCTATTATGAAAGCTTACTATC